CTCATTAATTCTATTGTGCTCCCAATAGTCTCTGTTCAAAACATTCTCTTCTCTACTCTAGCCACCAAAGGCACCCCCTTCCCTCCCTCTTATCCAAGGACTTTGCCTCGCATTTTACCAAGAGAACTGAGGCCACCCATAGTGAGGGTCCTTTATTCCCCAGTTTGTATACTTCAAATCTCTCCAGGTCTTCCCACATTCTTGCCCCCTTGCTCCCATCTGAGAAGTCTAAGTCTACTTTCAAAGTCTACTTCTGCTCCTGATCTCGTCTGCTGAAGTCTCTGGGACACTGAAACTTCAATCATTCCCCTCTCTAGTGATTATGAATCACTGAATGTCCTCTGCTTCCTTCCCTGCTGCTTTCAAACATGTCCGCAGCTCCCCACCCTTCAAAAGCTTTCCCTTGACCCAGCCAGTGCCTCCAGAGATCACCCCAGAATCTCCTCCTATTTGGAGGCAAACTTCCAGGGTCACTCTCCTCCATTTGTTCCCACCTTGCCACCACCCTGCACGCCCCTCTCCACTCAGAGTCATGGGGCTCTAGCCTTCACACCTGACTGAAACCATTCTCTCTCAGGTTATCATTAACCTCTGCAACCAAGCGTCTTTTCTCAGTCCTCATCCTTCTTAACCACCCCTCCCTCTGCAGTGGGTGATGATGCTGACCTTCTTTTCCTGGAGAATCTTTTCTCTATGGGTTTTTGTGACTTATCTCTTTTGATTCACCTCCTAACTGGTCTGACTGCACTTCTCAGCCTCTTTGGGGAAATCGTCTCCCATGTCCTGCTTCCCTAGCACATATCTATTCCAGTGCTTTGCCTTGGGCTCTCTTCTCTTCTCCCTTTATACCGTTTTTCTTGGTTATCTCTTCAGCTCCCACAGATTCCATTGTCGTCTCTATGCTGACAACTCTCAGATGTAAATATCCAGCCAACATCTCTTTCCTGACCCCATCGATTGCCTACTGCATGTTTTCGCCTGGATCTTTAGTGGGCCCATCAACTCCCATCAGTTCAGTGATCACCTCTATGTTGATGATTCCCCGATCAATAGTGAGCCCTACTCTTTCCCCTGAGCTCTGGGCCCAAATCGTTAACTACTACCTGTTGGCTATTTCCCACCGGATGTCCTGTAGAGATCTCAAATTCAACATGTCCAAGACAGAACTCATCTTTTCTCCTAAAGCCGTCCCATTTCTAAACTTCTGCATTTCTGTCCAGGGCATCACCATCCTTCCAGTCACCTAGAGTCCCCAGAGCCATCCTCTGACATGCCTGAGGCACCGTCAACTCTGAGAAGCAATGAGGTACATTGGAAAGAGCCCTTGCTCTGGAGTCAGAGACCCTGAGTTCAAATCTCACCTTTGGTCTTCCTATCTGTGTGACTCTGGGCAGATCCTTTCACCTCCCTTAGATTCAGTTGTAAAATGGGTATTGGACTAGACGGCCGCATAGATCCACCTTTCACTTGTAGATCTAAGGTTCTGCGGTCCTTCTCTGAAGTGCAGTGACCTGGGCGAGTTGACAGTCAGATGGGAAGGAGGCAGTGTTGCAGGAGAGGCAGCTGGTGCATGAGGTTGCAATAAGGGGGAAGAAACAGGGGCACACTGTGATGAAGTGGCTTTGACTAGAAACTGGCCCAGGCGCTAGAAAGAGCCTTGTCCTTTCCAAGGTTTGAGACAATCCTCTCTGGCCGTCCTCTGGCTCATCTCACACACTTTTGGGCCAATCTAACCCAACAAATATTAAACGTCTACTTTGTGCCAGCTTTGTGGGCAGCTAGGTGGCGAAGTGGATAGAGCACTGGCCAGAGTTGGGAGGACCTGAGTTTGAATCCAACCTCAGGTACTTACTACCCATGTCATCCTAGGCAAGTCACTTAACCCTTTTTGCTTCAGTTTTTTCATCTGTCAAATGAGCTAGAGAAGGAAATGGCAAACCACTCCAGCATTTTTGCAAAGAAAACAGGGTCGTGAAGAGTTGGACGCCACTGAACAACAAAACATTGCACCAGGCACTGTGCTAGGTTCTGGGGCGAGGGACACAAAAAAAGGAAATTCAACAGTCTTTGCTCTCTAGGATCTCCTTATAGAGGGGTGGGGTGGTGGAGAATATACCAAGAGAAGGGCAGAAAAAAGTGAGCTCAAGGTCAGCTGAGGACGGAGAGAGCAATACATTGGGGAGGGGGAGGAGAGAGGAAGGCACTTCCCCTAGGAGCTAGCACTGAAGGGGACTCCTGAGGAAGACAGAAGTTGCAGAGGCAGGGTTGAGGAGGGAGCTTACTCCATTCTTGGGAGGCAGTATGAGCAATTCGGAGGCAGAGATGGAATGGGAAGGTTAGGGAATAACAGACACTTTTGGCTGTTCCCCGTGCTTAGCATAGTGCCTGGCACAAAGTAGAGACTTACTGAATGCCCCCGAAATGGTCCAACATGGGGTACATGAAGAGACTGATCCGGGGGGTACTACTACCCCATTTAAAAGATGACGACTCTGAGCAGGCAAGCTCCTTGTGCATGGTTACAGAACTAGCAAAGTGCGGCAGCATTTGAACCCATCTCTATCTTTGCCTCTCCAAGTCCTTACTCAGTGACCCCCCCCACCCCCGCCAAGTGCTGCAGCAGCTGTTCAGCCTCAAGATCTCCGAACGTGGTTTCCTGATGGTCATCCTCCAGGGTCTTCTGAGGGTTAGAGTTACATACAAGACCTGACTGGGATGCTTGCTGCTCTAGCCTCTAATCTACCCTGCCCTCGTGTGTGTGTATGTGTGTGCGTGTGTGTGAGAGACAGAGACAGAGAGACACACACACAGATAAGATGAAGAGAGAGAGAAGAGAGGAGACAGAGGGAAATGGGGAGAAAGAGGGAAGGGAGAGACAGAGAAACAGAGAGATACAGAGACACAGAGACAGAGACAGAGACACACACACACACAGAGATGAGAGAGATGAAGAGAAAGAAGAGAGAGAAGAGAGAAGAGAGAGAGAGTCTGGCTGGGTGCCTCACGTGGAGCTGGCATTTCCTTAAGCTCCTTGGTCTGGGAGCTGTCAGGAGCTTCAATTGCCGCCTGGGGCGGGGGCGTGTGTGTGTGTGTGTGTGTGTGTGTGTGTGTGTGTGTGTGTGTGTGTGTGTGTGTGTCTCCTTCTTCCTTCCTTTACATCCCCAACTTCCAGCCCTAGATTTCCAGGTAACAGAGGACTGCAGAACCAGCTTCGCTTTGGCCTTTTGGGGATGACCAGAGAGCTGGGCGCTGGAGTGTCTGAGGCTAGACAAAGCCCTGAGTCCCGGGGAAAGCTAGGGGGGTTGTGGGGCTGGGACCCACATACTGCACCTTGGCACACTCACAGCTGACAAGGGCCAGAGTTGCATTAACCCGCTCCTCTCCCATGGGCTTTCCAGCCACCTGTGGAGGGTTGTCTACACCGTCTGTGGGGCGCTCCCTCCGGGCCTGGAGTCAAGGCCGTGGGGATGGGGTGGGGGTGCGGTGGGGGTAGGGGGAGCTTTGTGCATAGCCAAATGCATTGGAAAGGAGTTCAGGATACAGAACAGGAAGAGAGCCCAGGGAGCATCCAGTCCGAGGACCTTATTTGACAAAGAAGGAAACTGAGGCATGAAGAAGCTAGGGAGCTTGGCCTTGCCTGAGAGACTCAGGCAGCTAGGTTGCGCAGTGGCTAGGGCACTGGCTCTGGAGTCAATTCCGACCTCAGATAAGACACTGGCCCTAGGCGAGTCACTGCACCCTGTTTGCCTCAGTTTCCTCATCTGTAAAATGAGCTGGAGAAGGAAATGGCAAACCACTCCAGTATCTCTGCCAAGAAAACCCCAAATGGGGTCACGGAGAGTCAGACATGATTGAAGAGACAAGGTTAGAATTCCATTTTCTGACCCCAAGCCAGAGTTTCGGAAACGAGAAGGAGCTTAGCTTTTAGCATTGCACCAAGCCTCTCATATGACAGAGGGGGAAAATGAAGCCCAGGAAAGGGAAGGGACTGATTCAAGGTCTCCCAGTAAGAGTCAGGGCCCGAGGCTGGAGTCCCTCCGGGTTCCTGATGCCCGTAGGCTTTTCCCACAGTCCCTAAGTGCCTCTCTTTCCCTGCTCCCCTCGAGGGTCTGACTGACACCCATGGGTGTCCACAGGCACCGCGCACAGGCACCCCCATGTACTCAGCTACATATCCATGGAGGAACACATACACACACACCCACACACCCACACACACACACACACCGCCTGCAAACACTTTCACTGACACTTTCACATTCGCTCATGCACCCCTCTCGGATACATCCAGACGCACGCGCGCTCGCGCGCACACACACACACACACACACACACACACACACACACTGACACTCCCCCGCCCAGCTCACACGCACACTCACACGCGTGCACACTCACTCGCCCGTACAAACTCTCTCATACACACACAAAAACACACAGACACCCTCCCATTAATCCATCCATCCAACATACACATTCTCTCTCTCATACACATACACACTCTCTCACACACACACCCACAACACACACACACAGACACATACACATACACCCACACCAAATCAATCCATCTACCCAACACACACATACGTATACACACACTCTCTCTGATACACACACACACACACACACACACACACACACACACTCAGAGGCTCAGAGCCCCACGTCCCCGGGGGCGGGGGGGAGTTCCGAGCCACCCCTATTCTTTCTCCCCTCTCCCCCTCCTGTCCCCCCCTTCCCGGGCCTGACCATTCGGGAGGGGCTGGGCGGGGCTGGGCGGGGCAGAGGGGATCCCAGGCCGGCCGGGAGAGGAGGGGCTGGGACTGCGGGCTGCCAGGGGGCGGGGCCGGGGCGGGCTTTGGGAGTCCAGGCCAATGGGAGAACGGCTGGGCTCGACCCCGCCCTCCACCTCCTCCTGCGCAGCGCCCCCCCCTCCCGGGCTGCCCCCTGAGATGGGCGCACGGACAAGCTGCTGGGCAGACTGACAGACTGGCGGCGGGCCGGCTTCGCTGCGCTGCGCGGGGCTGGGCTCGGCCTCGGCCGCCGCCGCCGCCGCCGCCGCATCGGGGAGAAGAACTTGCCGAGGGGCGGGTGGAGGGGCCCGGCTTCCTGGAGCCCGGAGCCAGAGCCGGAGTCGGAGCCGGAGCCGGAGCAGGAGCTAGGGCACGTAGGGCGAGCACCCTCTCCTTGCACCCGGTATGTGTCTCACCCTTCCAGGTGTGTGTCCCAGGACCCTCCTCCTCTCCCTTTTCCCCTCCCTTCACGTTCCCTCCCCTCTGCGGCACCCTCTCAACTTTCCCCCCTTTCCCGGGACGGAGCTCAGAGCCAGAGCTTCCCATCCTGGGTCCCAGGACGGACCCACCCCAGCCGGGAAGAGGGAAGGCGGGCAGGCGCCCGGACCGGGCAGGTGAGCAAACTGAGCCTGGGGCCGGGAGAGATTTGCCCCGGGTCATCTGTCTGGACAGAGAAGCCTGGGCGCGGGCTACTGTACCGCCCTACCTCCTGTGCTGGGCGCCCGGCTATTGGCACCCGACGAGGAGTCCCTCAACTCCTGGACCAGGCTGGCCCCGGGGCCAGGCGGCCCCTTCCCGGAGTGCCTGTTGCTTGTTGGGGTGAGGAACTGATGGGGGCAGCTCTGTAGCGGGGCCCGGAGCCAGGCACTGCTGCTGACATCAATTAGCCCAGAAGCCCGAGGCAGCACTTGTCTGGGGGCAACCCAGGGCGTGCCCAGCCTGGCCAGGGGCTGCCGTCCAGCCTCAGGGTTACTGGCCAAGAGATTAGCAGCTGTTCCAGGCCTCCCCTCTAGAGCACCCAGCAGGCCCGCAGGAAATGAATGATTCATAGCATCTCTGCTATATCCCAGCCACAGGGAGCTTAGAGCTCCTTTGGTCCATTCCCCTCCTTTGACAACTAGGGAAACTGAGGCCCAGAGAGGGGAAGTCATTTACCCAAGGTCACCGAGGTGGTGAGAGGAAGCAGAAAGCTTCTGAAGCTCAGGTAGGGCTCTTGCCATTCTCCCAACCAGGCTCAGTTCAACTGAATTCCGTGAATATCAGCGAAATGCCTGCTGGGCGCTCAGCGGCTCAGAGTGAGGCCCGCGGGCAGCTCTGGAGCCTGGTCAAAAACTGATGTCTCTGTGTGTGTGTGTGTGTGTGTGTGTGTGTGTGTGTGTGTGTGTGTGTGTGTGTGTGTGTGACAGGCCTGGTGCGGTTCAAGCAAGTCAGACTTTTCAAGTGACAGTCCCTGCATTTGCTGGGGCCGGGGGAGTCTTGGGGCAAATCTCTGTCCCATCCTGGGCTGGAGGGGGGGCAGGTGGCTCCAAAGTCCCATCTCATGGGATCTTGGGGATAGAAAGAAACAGATGGGGAGAATTCCAAGATAAGTGTAATGAAGAGTCAGGAAAAAAGCAGGCAAAGTGCTCTAGGAAAATAAAAGCAGAGAGGACTCAAGGCTGGGTTTGAGAAGGGTAGGCTTCCTGGAGGATACTGGTTGCTGAGTTGTCCCGGGTCTGTCTCCAGCTCAGGCTGAGCCCACCTCTCCCTCTCCCCCACTCCAGACACCAATCTAGCTGCTGCAATGCCAGCACTCTGGAGGGCAGGGACACAGAGCCTTCCAAAGTCAGAGGGAAGGCCACAGGTAGTTGGGGCAGGGGTGGGGAGTTCTGGACCATAGGTCCTTAGAATGGCAGACTTCGAGGGGGCTTGGGATCATTTAGTCCAACCTTTTACTTTAGAAGTGCAGAAACAGAGCCTCGGGGAAGTCAAGTGACTTGCTAAAGGTCACACAGCTAGGTCAGTGATAGAGCTGCAAGGTCTTGGGAAGTTCCTTTGAATTCTCATTCTCCTTTCTGGTAGAGGGCTTATCCTTCTGGTGGGATAGAGGGGAGAGGGCTTTTGGGGGTGTCCTGATTGAAAATTGGGGGAGTTCATGGGGTCCCAGAATGGTGGAAGCTGGGAGGGACCTTGATCAACTATTCTCTTCCCTATTTTCCATAGAAGGAAACGAGTTGTGTGTGTGCGCGTGTGCACACACACAGGCGCGGGGGAGGATGCCCAGCTGTAAATGCTCTTGGGGGGCACTGAGGCTCTGCCTGGGTCTGGTTCCCTTTCCCAGGCTCTGCCAGGTGCCCTGCACTCTCTTGCCAACAGTGCCAGACACATCAGGAGAAGCCTGGCTCCAGGCTCCAAGCTGTCTGGTCAGCGGCAGCTGGGGCTCAGCAGATTTCTGCTGCAGGGCCCACGGGCTGGGCCATGGGGAGGCTTTTTGTGGCATTGCAGGGCTTCCCCCCTCTTTCTGTGCACGAGCTGTCAGTGCCCCCAGTAGCCAGTGGTTGGGAGAGGCAGTGCTGTGCCATTGGGCATGAGCAGACCCCTCAGGAGCCAAGCTGATGGCTTGGGAATTTTTCCCCCTTTCCCTCCAGAAGGCAAACTCAGGCTATGGGAGAGCAGAGAAACCAAGTCCCTTGTCTTATAGATGGGGAAACTGAGGCCCAAGGAGGTTTAGCCTAAGGATGTGCGGGGAGCTTTGGAGAGAGGCTAGTTCATGGTGGGGAAACAGGGACCCAGAAAGGGGGGACTTTACTTCCTCAAGGTCAAAGTTAGGCATCTGAGGTGGATTTTAAAGCAACTACTGAAGCTCCTATTTGCTGGGAGGGGGAGTTTAGAGAGGAGGAGGCCTCTGATTGGACCCATAGCACGCAGTCCCTGGAGGAGCCCAGGGGTGATAGGGTGGTTCTGGGTCCCCTTTCTGTAGTCCTGAGGCCCTGGGCAGAGGCAGGTCACATCTCGGGAGACCATGGACCAATCCCTCTGTCTGGGACCATTTGCCTAAATGATTTGCATGTGAATTGAATTGGAGCGGTGTAACCTGCCCCCTGCTCTCCCTTTTCTCTACCGCTTGCAAATAGGGGCTGTGGGCTAGTCTTCGGCAAACAGGAAGAAGCAGCTGCCTGCTAGGCCATTCTCCTGCTTACTCCATGCCTTCATGAGACAGGAAGACCCTCCCTCCTAGCCACCTCAGACTCAGGATTCAGGGTCACCTTTCCTCCTGGACTGCTCCCTGGGGGCCCAGATTCTGCTCCCAAGCAGGGCACAAGGGGCCATCCCTTCTAACCACTTCATTTAACTGGGGCCTCTGAGGCACCTGTGATAGTCTAAGGCTGTCGGTCCCGGAGACCCCTTCCGGCTCCAAGTCTGTGACCTCAGGGGTACAATTCGAACGGAGGTCCTTTGACTCTACCACCCTGCCTTCTTTTGTCTCCCACTTCTTCACATTCCCCTTTTGTCCTCCAGGACCCCAGGCTTATTAATGCCTCTCCCCCTTTCCTCACTGGGGAGTTCTGCGTCCCAAACTCAAACCGACTGAGTCCCTGATGTAAAGAAGACATAAATCCTGAAAACAAAAGCCCAGGGCACTGCCAGAGGGTATAGGAGAGGCCCTTAGGGAGGCCTGAAGGGAGGCCTCCTGGCCCTGACCTGGGAGGTAACAGGAACACAGGCCCTAGGCTTGAAGGTTTAGTGTTGGAAGGGACCGTGGAGACTGGTGTCACCTGCTCATGTGACAGCAGAGGAAACAGGCCCAGGAAAGGAACTGGCCTGATCTAGGATCGGGCCTCGAATCCCCTGGCTCGGAGACCTTCCCGCTTGGTGCAAGGGAACAGTGCAGTGCATGAAGAAGAGTGTGTGGGATGGACCCGCTGAGGGGAGAGTCAGGAGCCAACTGAGGGTCAGGTGTGTGGGATGGGACCACCAAGGGGAGAGCCAGGAACTGACTGAGGGTCAGTCACACACCTAATGTTTGCCTCTGTTAGCAGTGTGATCATCTCCACCCTAGAGATATGACAGGAAGGGCTGGGGCAGAGGGGAATGAGGAGAGGAAGAGGATTAGGACTCCTGCAGGACACAGGGAATGTGCTGTGGAAACCAGGATTTGCTGATTCAGCCTTAGCTTGTGTGTTGTCTTGACACAGACCTGGGTACGATTAGTTTTTAGATAAGATAGCATCACCACCACCACCTTATCACCACTGACAAGTATTAATGAAGTAAGTGCCTACTGTGTGCTGAGCTCTGGGGGTAAAAACAAAGGAAAAAAGACTGTCCCTGCCCTCAGAGAGCTCCTAGTTTGTCTAACGGGTGAGATGACATGCAGACCAGTATGTACATATGTTTTAGCGTTAAATTAGAGGGGTGCCTGGCTGCGCTGGAAACCAGGTCATTTCCCATGTTTGAGTAATTCCTTTGAAAGTGGAATTTTGCCCAATTTGTTAAAGAATGAATGAATGAGAAAGCATTTATTAAGCCCTGATGGTGTGCCTTGCACAGTAGTAAGAGCTGATACAAAAAGGGAGACCACCGTGCACTCCATTTGCTGATGTTCTAATGGGGGAGACAATACACAGAGGGTAGTGGGGGTCAGGAAGGGATCGCAGAGGGAAGGTCAGGTGATCCGCAGGGCAGTCAGTTAGTACACCCTTTCCCAAAGTAATAGTGCCATCAATTGGGGTCCCGTGACCAAGGAAAGAGGTGGAAATCAGGTCAGGGGGAGGTACACAGGGCAGGGCTGACGGTGGCTGGCTGCCAGAGATAGAAAGCGTGGTCTGCTCCATGCTGGGGTCCGATAGATGTAGCAGGCTTGGTGTTAGGTTCACTCTTACTCAGGGCCACTCCAATCCAGGGGGGAGAGGTGAGCGTGACTGGGCAGACTCTGGGGACCTCTCCAGAAATGTGCCACGTGCCCACATTTAAAAGGAGCTACAGACCTTTGGCATTTTAAGGTTCACAACATGCTCGGGAAACATTCTTAATTTACCCGTGAGGAAACTGATGTCCAATGATGTTGTGACTTTCCCAGGGTCCCCCAGCTACCAAGTGTGGGGAAAGGCAGTGTAATCAAATCTTCCTGGGTCTGGGTCCTGGGCGCTGGCCACTAACCAGGCCAAAGGGATCCAAAAGAGGGCTTTAGGGCTGGAAGGCCTAGAAAGGTTATCTAGGTTCCCCCCCCCCCTTTACAGATGAGGAAACTAGGGCCCAGAAAGACTTCTAGGACCACAGATTTAGAGGAGTCAGGGAACTTGAACCACCTAGTTCCCCCTGCTTACTTTACAGATGAAGAAGCCACAGATTCTAAGAGGCACCCAGGAGGAAGGAGGGCGGGCATGCCAGGCATCAAGGGGCAGCCTGTGCAAAGGGGTGGAGGTAGGAGATGGCATGGTGACT